GGGTCGGAGGAACTCCCTAGGTATAACCAGAATTGTCCTGTTTGTAAGTGCAACAAGTCCCAGTCTCTACCATAAAAAGAAGCACCTTGTTGGAGGTTAAATGCAGCATCGAGTTACTGTATGATGTTAAGACCTGGGGCATCTGCAGGAATGGCAGCAGCAGGTTTGACTTGAGATACGGATTGGTCAAAAGACTAATGGTGACAGCAAATCTGGCTTGAGATATGGGTTCTTTGTAGATCCGGACCATTGTCAGAACACCTTATAGAAATCAATAACAGGTAAACCAAAAAAGGGAAGATCATAAGAATCAAACATACCCGAGTAGGACCAATTTGGGAGTGATACAGTAACGAAAAGGTGGAAAATGTGAAGAACAAGGTAATACTAGATATAGTTAGATTAGGAGGCAGAAGAAACAAAACCAGGTAAAACATGTAAGTGGGACATATGGGTATAATTTACAGAAGACAGTACCTCTGCCATTTGGGATGTCACATTAAGTTCAGTAGGTATCCTTGTCTGTGTAGCAGTTTAATGTGTACTATGACTGCAAGTGGTTGCCAAGGTAACTGTGTGCAGGCATGTGGCAGACATGCACTTAGGTGCCATAAGGGTAACTGGGTGAAGTCAGTGGTGTTAAATTAAATAGTATATAGTACTAGTAATAATCGATTCTAAAATGTAACCATAAATTTGTACTATATTAAATTAAGCTAATAAAAACCAACTAGCATTGTTGCCAAAGTTCAAAAAAAAAAAAAATAAATAAAAATAACAGTTCAAATGGACAAAACAATGCTATACTCTGTCATGAAAAAATAATTAAAAATTTACTAGAATTCAATAAAGAACTTCCTAGAAGTAAAGCTAAAAAGGACAAATATTATTTTTGTAATAGTCTTCTAAAACTACATAAGTTAAACCCTTCTGGTGACACATATAACATTGAATATTACCATTAATATGAAATGGATGTCAAAAAAAATAAACAAAAAACCTTTATTTATTATCAAAGACTTGCTAAATTGGATAATACTAATAGTATATATAATGTTGGTTATTGTTACCAAAATGGGATTGAAGTTCAAAAGAATGAATATAAGACATTAGAAAATTATAAAAAATCAACAAATCTAGGATATGCTAAAGGAGTATATAAAGTTAGGCATTGTTATTACAATAGAATTGACATTAATAAGGATGAATGCCAAGCACTTACTTGGTATTAAAAAATAACTGAAATGTTTGAAGTTAGTCATTGTTATCAAAACGAAATGATAACTAAGAAAATCAGTGAAGAGAAAACTTCTAATATGCAAAATTGATGTTTCATAATAAAAAATTTATATGAAGCTTGTAAAGATTAGAATAAAAGAGTAAAAAATTTTAAAGCATTAATGAAAGAAACAGGAAAATCAGAAAAGTTTGATAAAACTCACCCAAAATCATATAACCAACTACTAAACAACATGAAAAGGAAAGCTGTCATATGGATGCTGAAATTGGTCCTCAAAAGAGTAATTCTAGTATTGGGTAATGGACTTAAAAAAGAAGAAAAGTACCAATTAGGTAAAAGGAAAACTATCTATAACACTGTGATATATAAGACTCTTTGATACTTACCAATGTATGGACTATACATCTTCAATCCTGGTGAAAAATTGTTCCTGTTGTTTGACTTTGTCTCATGGAACTCGACCTTGAATTGGGGAGGAATGTGAGCCTTGAAACATGATCTCAGAAGCACATGGAAGGAGGTGATCAATAACGATTAATGGCTATGATGATCACCTACCTAATATGGGCTTCCCAGGATTATTGCTCCTAAAAGTTGTATAGGACAATTAGCAGATACAAGAGCGATAAGGGTTTTAAGAGAAAATGGTAATTAATGGGATATACGAGAATTAAGGGTTTTAAGTAATAAGAGATGTTAAAGGGATATAAATAGGATAATACAATTAATACATTTAGTACCTTAAAGAACGCATATGTAATATAACAGTATATAATAAAGGCTTTGAGCCCTACCTGAGCAGTAGTTTTAGTGCTTATCATAAATTCGTTCCTAATAATTCCCTGTTTAGTTATATTATAAAACCTATGATCATAAACACACCACTCTCCAAATCTAACCGCCTCTTTCGACTAAGCCATTCGTAGGTTACACGACGTATATGTTTGAGAAGTGACCGAAACGTCGACGCCGGTTCGATGGTGTCAATATCAGATAACAAGTCACACGTATGTACGCAGTAAATACTAAATTAAAAATCAAGCCACATCACACGTATTGATATCGATACACGCCCAAAAACAATAGAGATACGTTTACCATTTAATCCAACCAAAACATTTTAACCACAAACACAATAAATGTAATCAAGTTTATCGTTTAGACCAACCAAAAACGTTTAAAACCATAAACTCAAATTTCAATTAGAGAGAAGATTAGACCCCGAAATATCCGAAACAGAATGTGGTTACACGGCAAGGGTAGAGTGCAAGGGTCTAATGTAGGTTATGGTATGACAATATCCGATTGTTACAATAAAGTTTATTATGTATTAATATCGATATGCTATGAAATAATACTGTAATATATAGTTAGATTGATTGGTATCCATGGGTTCAATTAAAAACGACCGGGGTAAAATCGTCACCCAAAAAAGTTCCGAAAACATGTGATATTGTCAAATAATCATGATTAGGATCATGATAATAATATTTATTAAATATTAACATAATTGATTTAGTAAGTAATTTTTTTTCTTCGAAGTGAAAAGCGATTGTTAAAAGCATAAAATCCAATAAACACATTATTCTAAAAATATACGTTGATTGCCGTAACAAAATTTTCACTAATAATAAATGAAAAAAGAATGAAAATCGAAATAAAGTTATAAAAACTAATCAAGAAAATGCAATTGCATCAGAAAATCCTGTAGATTTTATTTTTAATGCTCTTCCGGAAAATAATAACTTTGGTTATTTATTTGAGTAAAAGGTTTTTGTAATTCTGAATCCAGGATGCAACAACAAAAAATTGTTGAAGAAAACATAATGAACCCAAATAGTAATAAATTTCTTGATAGTATTAATAAAATTATTATGCCATTGCATAAATTGGAGGATTATACTCATTTTAAAAGGAAATGGAATATCCCAAATACTCAGAAAACCCATTAAACATAAAACAACCTTGTACGTTTATTGAGTTATTCTAAAATAAATAAAATTATTGATTCATTGCTTATCTATATTATTTTGTTAGTCACATTTTTTGTTTGTGTTTTTTTTGTAAAGTTACATAAATTTTTATCATTCGGTATATTAATCATGTGACGTTCAAACTTTTTTGGGTGGCGTCGAACCTGGCCTTTACAGAACACTAGTATATTCAAATCAAATGATGCAATAATGCTGGCCAAACTTTTTGTAAATCTGGTACTTTATGTATGATGTGTGAAAATTACATGAAATTTGATTTTCTGTAAAATTACATGTAACTGTAATATAAAATTGTAATTTATGTAACACAATCCTATCTTTAACCGCATTAGCCAACCGACTATATTATATTAGCTGGTTTAGCGGCTAAGCCAATTTAGCCACAACTGACTTAAAACACTAATAGAAATTTTGTCTTCAATTTGAACATATTTAATCGTTAATTTAACAACTTTACATCTAAATCAAAATCAATTCTTGAAAAAAAAACTGTTATAATAAGTTGATTATTTATTTATTTATTTATTTTTAATTTTGTTTATTTTATTTGTTTTTCTATTTTTGATTTTTTCTCAAAAAAAATTGCAACAGAACTAAGTATAGAAATGTAATAACTAATTTAATGCAAAAATTAAATGTCCGTGATTATACTAATGATAGAATGTAATAATTAAAAACCCAATGTCCAATATATTGAAAAAATTGATTATGATAGTAAAAAAAAAAAAAAAAAAAAAAGATTACAAGAAAAAAAAAAATGGATACAAGAAAAAAAAAAGAAATTACAAAATATATAAGATTATTTCTAAGTTAAGAATTATTATTGTGTATAATCGCCCAAGGTTACACCTAATGTTTTTGTAGCAAAGCTATTTCTTTTACGTGTTAAAATGGGAGAATTTAAATTTTCTATAATTTCAAAGTAAACATTTGCTAAAGCTTCGTGAACTTTCGTTGTTACATGATACGCGTCCCAAAAAAAGAATAAATCTTTTTCCTCATTATTAATTTCATCATTATTTGTGTTTGAATCAGAATTTTTATATAAATCATTAGCTTCATCCTTCCCATTTATAATTCCGTAACAGGCCATACCATCTTCGGTTTGTAATTCTTTAAAGAATTTATCAATTTTTAAATAAATAATTCTCACATTAGTTTCTCTACTAAATTTTACTAGGTGTTCAAGCAAGGATTTATTATATGATTTGATCATTTCAGAGATTCTCTTCTTTTCTTCTGTATTACTTGTTTTATAAGCAGGAATTTGAGATAGGTCATGCATATTTGGTACTAGGATGGTTTTAATAGTTGGTAAGGATTCTACGAGAAATCGAAGTGCGTCCATTAAAGATTTAACTACGTCAAGTGGTGGTACTTTCATATCTGAAAAAAAATAGTCGTTCCCTGTGTCCCATACCTACAAATTACATATAAATGAACATTATTAGATAAATTTAAACAAAAAAGGAGTGATCAAATAGGTAAAAAAAAAAAAAAACAAGAAATACATACAGAAAATAAAGTTTTGCTGAAATCTTTCCGTTTCTTTGTGGATTTAGTATTATCAGAAACAAACATTTCAATCTGTTGTCTGATTCCGGGTACTTTGAACTCAGTCTGAGGACCGGTGAGCCCTTGAACAAAGTCACTACTATTAAATAGTTAAAAGATAAAAAGGAATCAGTATATAATTATCGTTTAATAAAAAATACTTTATATTGTTTAAGGTTATTTACTTTGAAGTAGCACCGCCAAAAGCATAATTTGTTAACTTGACATTGAGCAGCTCAGCAAGATATTCAGTCCAAACTTTGCCATTAGTGAAATGGCCTTTATAATTTATAGGTGTTGGCCATGTTTCATTCGTCAAATTGTAACTATTTCCATTATCTTATTAAAGAAAAAAAAAACAAAGGTAAGATTAAAATTTGTAATGATACATAAACATTTATAATTCTATTGACTTATCAATGGTAATGTATTGATAACATACCAGAAAAAGAATCCCCGAAAGCGACATATTTAGTAAATCTTTTGCGTGACTTTACAGGAATAAATTTAGTTGATGGGAAATTTTTGGAAGCGGTAGAGGAGGTAGTGTTTTGTTCTGATGTGGATTCTTTCTTTTCTTGCTTTTTTGAATTATTAAATCTTTTGCGCGACTTGATTTTGAATAAATTTTTGAAAGCGGAAGAGGAGGTGGTATTTTGCTCTGATGTGGATTCTTGCTTTTTTGATTTAGTAAATCTTTTGCGCGACTTGATTTTGAAGAAATTTTTGGAAACAAAAGAGGGAATAGTTTTTTGTTTTGATGAAGTAGATTTTTGTTCTGATGAGGTGGTTTTTTGTTTTGATGAGGTGGATTTTTGTTCTGATGAGGTGGATTTTTGTTCTGATGAGGTGGATTTTTGTTTAGATGAGGTAGACGAAATTGCTTTTAAGGAACTAAGAAAAGATGATGGAGTTGGAAGAAACATTTTTTTTAATGAATGTCTTTTTTAATGAATGTGTTTTAGTGAATGTCAAACAGCTTTTCTAAAGTCTAATTAGCAATTGCTTTTTATTTTGCTTTTTTGTTATAACGGGTAAAGAGACCATCTTGCCTATTTATATTGCACGAGTTTATAGTATCTTCTTATCGATATGAAATTTCGGAATTTAAAGACCTTTCCATGCGTATGAACATGCATAAATTTATTAATCCTTGGCATTTATGTATACAGTAGTTAGAAAGATACTGCATCTATAGCTGCAGTATCTTATGAGCGATCCTGATTGATTGGTAAACCAGACAATCAGTAATTGCTTACGTAGAATACAATAATGATTTAATCCGAAGTGTTAATATAGTTAGTATATGAAATGGAATTAATAATTTATCATATATAAACGCGATAAACATAATTGGTTTGTTTTATAAAATGATTAGATTAAAGCTTTGGATAATATTAAACTGAATTTAATGAAATGTAAATCATATCAACCTCTGTTTTACGATAATAGTAAATATGTATGATACCTTTTTTTTTAGATGAAACTTTAACCCGTTTAAAACGGTATCACCTTAAATATTTGACATTGTGTCATTAGTTATTAAGAGTACAAATCGATAGTCCCTCAAAAAGCTCTGCGAGTACGTACGTGCGTATCTAATTCAAATATTCCATGTGATATTTGTGATATTGTTCATATTGATTTCGAACATTAAAAATACGAATTGCAGATTTATGCATCTTGTAATAATTGAAATGGGTTTAAAATGGAAACTGATATCAACAAGGATACAGTACGATCATTTTCGTTTGTTACTACTTTAGACTTTGTATTAAATTGTTTGCTTTTTTCAGAGATAGAATGTTTTTCCAGAAAAATTTTGTTTCACAAAAAATTTGAAACGGCATTCTGCGCATGCTAATTAATGCAGCTAAAAAATAGGGCGTATCGCGATTTTCTGATTATGTACTTAAAATTCTTTTGCACACTGAATATACTGTATATTTTTTTAAAAAAGATTCTAAACTTAAAATAATAAATTACTACAGAATACTAAAAAAAAAAAAAAACAATACCTTTCAATCCATTATTTAATTTTAAATCTTAATTTAATTAAAATTATATTTAGCTTTGCATTAAAATCTGGTAACCATATAATACTTAGATCTATCGAAAGATTCATTGGATGTACCGACGGATATCTGACTATTTTTATCTTGTGGATATTTTTTAAACATGTTTTGGGATTATGTGATACAGGGCGAGTGAAAGTAATGTGATTACTGGTGTGAAGCGTAAACAAATCTCAAGATATAACTAACTTGGGAGTTGTAGTTCATCGCCGGTGCGATACATCACTACCCCTATAATTGGTCAATAAGAGAGCCATTAGCGTCAAATTAGAATTTTCATAAGAACATTTTATTTTTAGCAAAAATTTTATCAGATTTCATTGGATAGTTTTAACCAATCCAGCGAATTTGAAAAAAAAACAGTTGGTATCCCGAATACAAGCACTATGTCCCATCATTTATTTTACCAATTAGTTTAATCACACAATATGACAACTTAGTTATTACATATAACAGACCAGCGGTTAGCCAATTATTTCTAGTTTTAGGACATGACTTTTATAGGTTGTATTGATATTATCACATTATGTGAATTGTCGGTGAATAATAGCCGGTGATAGCACTAAAATTATACCACCAGATTAGTTAATTAAGACATGATATCACGTTATGTGAATTGTCGGTAAAATAATTGCCGGTGATGACATTGAAAATTAAACATGAAATAATTCGACAACATCTATCCGAACCTTCTCAGCGCATGAGAGGCACAAATCTTGTTAATTACCAATAATGTGAACAGATTATGAAACCATTTTTGTCATTCTTAAAATGAATTTATTGTCTATCACGAATATAATCTGCATATATATTGTTATTATTAGTTTAGAACATAAATGCCTTAATTCTCGGACATTTCCACTGTGTTACATGACATTCAATATTTCTCACAGTTTAGAATATAAAATTTTCTAGAATCATTATAATAATAAAAACCTGCCATTTTTAATCTATTTGTTCGTCTATTTTTGTTAATACTGTATTAAGAAATTATGATCTATTAACCGAATTTTTAAAAAAGGTAATTGAACAAAATAATCTAGTAATAATATCTAAATTCGTTTATTCCGTAAATTGTGTTTCTGAAATAAGCGAACAATAATATCAATTTTCTAATTATTTGGATGAGCTTATCGTAAACCGAATCGCGTCAATAATCGCACCAATAAATAAACATTTCTTTTATATACTGTACAGCGTTCTGAAAAAGAGGTATCAAAATTTGTTTCAGATCTTTTGTATGTTAACATTTTACATATTAAAACTTTTCATTTTAAATTATTTATGTCATTGTCTTATTACTATATTGAGCTATCTGCATAAGTTTGGGATATCATTTGTCGTCATTATCTAATTACTATATTGAGCTATCTGCATAAATTGGGAATACTGAAATGTCGATTATGCATTAGAAGCTCTATATTTAAGCTGATGCATATTAATATATTGTCATACCTTGTAGATAATATAGATATACAGTATATAGTGTGATTTACATAGCACATACAGTTGTTCGATTACTAGATTATTGAACAAGAGAATGTTCTTTATGCTTCTTTGCATGATTTCCACCAATAAGATCAAATATGGAGTTGTTATTCCTTCATTAATTTTTTGACTTTTAAGTATTCTTTAATTCGAGTCAATTATCGTTAAATTCGTTTAATTGTATGTAATTACATACATACTTTTAAGCAATTTCAATATTGTTTTAAATTCTTTATTGTTTATTAATTCAAATTTCAAAAATTCCAAAAATTTCATATAAATTCTTATTCTCCCTTTGGTCACACTCAAGTAATCAATCCTCTGGAATTAAACTTTAAAGTATCGACACAAACAAGCAAATTAGTTCGTAACTTCATTTCTTTATGCAAATTTAAAATTTGCATAAAAGGTGTAACCTGAAACTAATGTACATGTATGTAGTTTGTCGGAAATTTTTGATTTATTGATAAGGATTACCAAGTTCAAAATTTCAATGGTGCAAATAATACAACGTTTCATTCTTTATTTTCATGAAAATTTTTATGTTTTAATATATGTAAATCTATGCATCCTTGAAACGAAAAATGTTAATATCCTTGAATAATTCAAAAAATCACATACATACGTATTAAAGTTATGTACACGATTTATTATACATAAAAATGTATCGAATATCGTAATTTCATATTTGAAACACATGCATAAAGACTTTAAGTTTTACCTTTAATAAAGAATGTTTCTTTTTATAATTTACTATTAATAAATAAATTTCTGTGCGACTTTCTAATTAATATCCCTTGTATCTTGTTACTATTAGGTTCTTGATTTTAGGTTTAATTTTAGACAATGTTACTTATATTTAGGCGCAGGTACCTTAACATTTTAATTTTAGACAATGTTACTTATATTTAAGAATCGTGTAACGATTAATTTTATACCTTTTAGGTTGGTCCCATAGCTTACTGGTTCAGCTCTCAAACTCCCACAGACAAAGTCAACAGTTTGAGTTAGGCTGAAGGCAACTATGGTTTTCTCAGTGACGTAAATAATAGGAGTCATAATTGAATGCAAAGTCTTGCAAAAACTTCAAATGCAAGTACATATTAAGAATAGGAATTCTCAGAATTATGAAAAGAAGGCATTACATGTAATAGTAGAATTACAGAAAATTTTAAATTCTCAGAGAAAATTTTCTAATTAAACAGCATTAACATTTTTATATTTAATTTTTGTGAGGTACTTATTTAAAAGAATAATCATAAGATTATATATATAAATTTTAAATTAAGAATTAAAAAGAAATAGGATTTGATTAAAAATATATTTTGACTATAATCAAAATTATAGTAAAAAAAACAATAAATATAAAAATAATTTATAATAAAAAATTGAACTTAACAATATATAGATAATTAAAATTCAATAGTTCTAATTATAAAATAATTAATTTACAATGATTTTCTATAACCAAATTAAAGTTTTTTTTCTATTTTTTGTTAAATAGTCTAAATAAATAGAAAAATGTAGAGTTATTTTATTTAGTATAGTTTATAATTTTTAAAACCTAATATAGGCTTATAATTGTAATTATCTAATATTTGTAAATTGCAAGTTTTATAGCTTTTCTTTTTTTTTGTTTAACTTCTTTTTTCTTTTATTTTTTGGTTTATATCTTTTATCATTTACTCCTATACCTTTGTATTTTTTTTATATATAAAAAATTTTTTTTGTTTTTTTGTCTCATAAAAAACATTATCAAATTAGTAGTATCTTATTGTAGGCAATGGTCAAACAAGTAATCTACTTCTAATTGAAATAGTGCATCAGTTTGCACTTAGATATTATTTAAATAATCAAGTAATGCTAAACTTAAGTATTAAAAAAAATTTATATAATCTGTATAATTTAAAAATTTTAATAAAGTACTAGTACAATTACTTAAAATAAAATAAAATGTTAAAAGTAATAACTTCTTTGTTTAGAATTTGTTTTAGTTTGGGTATTTGCACAAATAAACTCTTTAGTTTTGGTTTCAAGATCATCAAGAAGTTGGGTAGGTATTTTTTCTTTAAAGGTAGTTTTATGTTTGGCATTTATATGAAAAATTAAGACATCAATATTAGGTTGTTTCCAAATTTTACTTTTTGTTTTTAGGAATTCTAAATAAGATTCATTTAAAATTTCTTTAAGAAGGTTGCTATAGTTGTGTATATATTGGTAATCAAGTTAGTTGTTTTTGGATATAGTTTTTTTTGCTTTTTCTTTTTCTTTAAGTTTTGTTTTGTTAAGATGTATATAGTCAGAGCTAGTACAAATGTAGATATAATAGTTAGCATGTTGAATAGTCTTATTACATCATTATT